CCCCTGGGGCCACCCCAGCCCCCCTGGGACCACCCCAGGTCCCCCAGGGCCACCCCAGCTCCCCCGGGGCCGCGGGGACGCCCGAAGCTCGGGGTTGCTCTGATGACGCTGTCGCATCTTGAACAGAAACAACACAGTATTTTCCTATATTCCGGGTAGTGTGGATTTATTATGTTGCCGTAGAAGAAGTGAGTAGCAAGTAGCAGTTTAATGCGTGGATCCCCCCAGCTGGTTGACAGTAATAATCCTTTTCACCTTTTCCACATGGAAAAATTGCGGAGTATCAAAAAGGCAAAGGGAAAGGCAAAGGCAAAGAGGAGCAGCTGTGCACGGGTCTGCGGGAGGCTCCTGCTCGCAGGGAATGGCTGCCAAGGCTGCGGCCCGTCCTGCCGGCGGCTGCGCCGCGCTGGGCCGCGATCGGGGCCTTCTGGGCTCCCGCTTCCTGAAACGCGAGAGAAAATGCATTTAAAATTAATAAATCATCCTTCACCTACTCACGTCTTTAAGCTCCGCTGGCTAATGGCAAGCTGATTTCATGAAATGCATTATTTAACATGCAGTGAACTTAAAATCCTGATCCCAACTTCAAATGCCTCCTACTGTTTTTTTTTGAAGATAGCTATTGTTTTTCACAAAGCTTTGCTTTCCCTGCATAGTTCTTTAGCCATTTTAATCCTTTATAACTTTCTGATTCCATAAAACCTTATTACTCTAACAAGATTTATTATGTTTGCGTTTCTGGGCTCTCTCACTGGTGCAAGTCGCTTTTGCTATAGCCCAGGTTTCTACGGTTGGGTTGCAGCCCATTTCTACAGTTTTATGCATTGGAACAATTTCTACAATTACCGGTTACCTGAACACATCTTGTCCTAGCGAGACAACAGCCCCCTGCCCTCGCCGGGCTGGGGGATGAGGGGATGCAGGGAGAAGACGTCACCAGGACAAAATGTCAGAGCTGAGTCCAGAGGTGACGATGAGGATTCTCATGTTGGAGTGTGCTTAGTAACCTGCTTTGGAAGGTGAGACGGGACAATCAAAGTTTGTACAATACGAGGGAGCTGCTGAAATAAAGAGTGGAGGCTCCAGCACTGATCCGTGTTACTCCTGATGCCGGGAGGTGCGGATGGCAGCTCCCGGGGTTCAGCGAGCCGAGAGCGCAGCGAGGGCCGCGGTGTGAACGGTGCGCGGGGAGCAGCAGCGCTGCGGGACCGTCCCGGAGCAGGGATCGCCGCGGGAGACGGTGCAGCCTCCATCCCCGGAGCAGGGATCGCCGCGGGAGACGGCAATCCGGAACGCGCGCGCAGGCCACTGAGCCTCCATCCCTGAGGAGGGGACGGGAAACGTGTCCCTCATGTCCACGGGAGGTCTCAGCGCCCTGGCTCGCACCTAAGGGGAGGCTGATGCTCAACTGACCACCAATTTGGCAACAGCCCCAACTCGCTAGGACTAAGAAGTGGCCTGGTTTCATTCACGTAGATTTGGCAACAGACCTGGATGACTAATTTATCATAAATAATGTATTTGATCAATTTAGCAGTTTTCTCTTTTGTGACTTGCCTGTGGGCAGGCCGTGGTTTGCTTGGATAAAGCTCTTGTTTTAACTGATTTGCAAAATATTTTCTGTGAGTGAGTGAGATGGGGCACAAATAGTTTGTGTTGAGTAGTTTATAGCAGCAACTGGAGGTGCCTTACTTGGTGTTTAATGAGAAAACTGATGTGATTGTATGTATGTTCTCAGTCTGTTATTAAATCCTTGTAAATTCTTGTTCTGGGAGACTGCATATTAATTAATTTAAATTTCCAACTAGGATTATTTGCTGAGATTCAGTACCTCTGTGGATATACTGGCCAGATGAGTAATTCAAATAAAACAAACACAAAGCCTATTGCTTTATGCTTAGATATCTAGAGAGAAATGTTTTAATTTACTCCAGTACTTTTAGCAGCAGGGGAAAAAAATAGAAAAATAAAGAAAATAAAAGGGAAACCCCATAAAATCAGGCTGGAGAAAACGGTGAGTTGGTGAAGGCGTTGCTGTGCCCTGGGAAGCAGCTGACTTGCGTGTGCTTTGGCTGCAGGTTCTGCCTCCAGGATGGATGCTCACGTGAAGCCTCTGATGCCAGCTCAAGTCACCAGGGTGACTGCTCTATCTGCTCCAGCTGTGACTTTCATGGCAACCAATTTGATGGATCAGACGTTAGCAGGTGCGTTTCTGTTTCAATGTGCTCCTTTATCCCCGAAGCATATGCTACGTATTCGTCTGCTTCCAACTCAAGCGTCGTTCTCCGTAGTACACAGTAAAGGGGGACCCTTCAAAATCATCTTGGATTTTCTGGATTTTGCTTTAGCTGGTTAGGAGCGTGTTCAGACGGTCTCAGATCCCGTTTGCTGCCTGGCCATGGGCGGTCGATGAAGCGAAGGCAGTTTGTGGGCGCCCCTCGGCCCCGCGCGCCGGCGTGTTGGCGAGCGCCGCGGCGGTAGCGCGGGTGTCTCCGGGCTGGGTGCTCCACGAAGCCTCGGAGGATGCTTCGTGCTGTGCTGCGTGATGAAGCTGTTTTACTCACTACCATCTCCGTGCGTTGTACTGAAAGGAGGGGAAACGCTATTCCCAAAGGCTGGAAAGAGTCTGATGGCTTCATTTAGATTCCCATTTACACGTTGCAAACCACGACTAGAAAGAGATCGGTTTTTGATGGAGAATTGTGAGTGTCTTCCCTCATTAGAGGACGTCCTCGCCGCGACGCCGCGGTTGTTGGAGGAGCGGAGCCCTGCGCGCAGAGGGGCAGCATCGGGCGCAGCCGCCCATGCACGTGCCAGCACGGAGGGACAGGCACACGTAATGAATAACTCTGGGCGTTATCAAGAATTAATGGGCTGTAGCAGCCATGTGCTTTGTCTGATCTCTTCTGCCTACGGAATGTCAGCATTCTGGAGATGCCGGATGGTCCCATATTAGGCACGGATGCTCTAGTTCTGTATTTGCTCATATACAGATTTTTTTGTATAAAGCCTGTGACTTATTCAGCTAAGCGTTTACTCTGCGTGTCCCTTGCACTCCCCACAGCTAAAGCAGAAGTTACACCAGCCCTTTCGGGGTTAGCCGTGTGGGACCAAGCCATACATAAGCTGTAGGCTCCTTTTGAGCTCAGTTTAATTGCTAGTTGTACCTATCTTGAATAATTGAATTGTAATTGAATTTTACTGAGTATTCCTTTTCTGTGTGGAAATTGCTGAAAACTCTGTAACACAGACATCTAAAATTGAAGGAATGTTTATATGCATTTCTTTGAACTTACTTCAATTTAAAGTTTCCTTTTGGTAAATACCTACTGTCACCATCCACCTCAGTTACTGTGCTTAAGGACCTGCGTGTTCCTCCTTAGGATCACTCAGGATTTTAACTCGCTGTCCTGCTGGAAGGCAGGTCTGACGGAGGAAATATCACTGCTGTTTAGAAACGCCGTGACAGAAAGCTGAAGTCTGTGCAGGAGCCGCACGGATACACGCTTGGTTGCTAGTTGGTATCTGAAATTGTGACTTCTAATACATTTCATATAAAATATATGCCATAATCTTCCTCTTGATAGAGGGGAAAATACAAATCCTCCCAATTTTATCCATCACGCTGAGTGATGCTTGAGGAGCACAAAGCATTTTGATAGCTATTAAATGCCCAGCATGGCATTTGGTCAATAGTTTTCCTAAAGCAAATGACGGCCGGGCTTACTGAGGTGCCGTCGTTTGGAAGAGCAATCACTGGGTTTCCACATCTATACAAGTAATGTAAATAAAATGACCATTATATTTTTGTTCCTAGCCTTTTCTTGAAAGTACACAACATATGTCTGTGCCTGTTTGTCTTGTTTGACTTGCTGCCAACTTCATTTAACAGAAAAATGGCAATTTCACTGAAGGATAGTATGGATTTTCCTTTAATGGTTTCCAGGAGATCACACTGTTTTCTAGAGGTTGCTACAAGGTGTCATTACCCCCACTGGAAAAGCAATCCAAGAGGAATCACGGCCAGGGAGAGGTAGCGGTGCTGGCGGTGCTCCGGAGCGAGGCCGGCGCGGCGGAGCGGGGAGACCCTCTGCACAGAGATCCCGCTTGCTTCCCCAAAACCAAGCTAATAACGTTCCCTTTTTCTCTAGCCCCGAAGCAGTACATTTTGCAGTGGTGCCAGGTTGTGGTAAGGGTTCATTTTTGAACAGAAAGTCCCATCTCAAGTGGTTCTTTCTCCTTTTATGCCCTGGTAGAAGCGCGGTTGTTACCTGCTGCTCTCACAGAGCGCTGCATAATCTTATCCGTATTCAGAGCTGAGACCGTGAAGTGCCTTGAAGATCAGGGCCAGCATCTTGAACTCGCTGTTTAATCAGAATGCCAAGGAAGAGCAAAGCGCTTTGGGGAAGGAGCGAAACGGGCGGCTCGGGATGCGGCCCAGCCTGAACCGGCCTTGTGGAAGCGTGTGGGAAGCTGCAAAATAGTGAAAACGGAGTGCACAGAGGAAAAGCAGCCAGAAAAACACCGCAAAGACGCGCAGCTAAGTCGATGCCTTAATAACAGTAATGAAAAGCTGAAAGAAGCGGGTGCGGGAGCAGCCTGTGCCAGGGGAGTCCCCCTTTCCCTGGAGCAGCCGTGGGAGCCCGAAGCCTGGACACGTGCAGGGTGCTGTGACCTGCAGGGACGCTGGGGACAGCAAAAACAGCGAGTCATTGAGGCAAAGGTTCAACCTGCTTAAGCTTCCTGTGAGGATAGTGGAAGCTTGGTCTCTAAAGAGCTTTTAGGAAACTGACTTTTGCTATCCCTTGCCCATAGCTCCTTATGGAATGAATCAATCTTGCCGTGCTTGGCGTGGGCAAAACCGCCCTCACGAATGTTCGGTGGAGGTGGAAAAGCAGATGACGCCTGCTGTCCCGTGTGGCTCTGGGAGTGCTGCCCGCATGGTTTAATTTAAATTTAAATTCCGTTTTTTCCCATTGCCCTCCACGTGCGATGGTGACGTACGTAAGGATGTCCTCCTCCATCAGCAGCGCTCCAGTGCCGGCCGTTCCCACCCGTGGAGCAGGGACCCGAGCAGGAGCCGGAGGAGCCGTCGCGCGCTCCGTGGTGCTCCCATGTGCTCCATTGTGCTCCCATGCTCTCCGTTGCGCTCCTGCGCACTCCGTGGTGCTCCCACGCGCTCCGTTGTGCTGCCACCTGTTCTGTTCTGCTCCCTCATGCTCTGTTGCGCTCCTACATGCTCCGTTCTGCTTCCCACGTGCTCTGTTGCGCTCCCGCGCGCTCCGTTGTGCTCCTGTGTGCTCTGTTGTGCTCCCACCTGCTCCATTGTGCTCCCGCGTGCTCCATGGTGCTCCCACACACTCCGTTGTGCTCCCTCGCGCTCCATTGTGCTCCCCACGTGCTCCGTTGCGCTCCCGCGCGCTCCGTTGTGCTCCTGTGTGCTCTGTTGTGCTTCCACCTCCTCCATTGTGCACCCGTGCACTCCATTGTCCTCCCACACACTCCATTGTGCTCCCCACACGCTCCGTTGTGCTCCCCATGCGCTCCATTCTGCTCCCTCGCGCTCCATTGTGCTCCCGTGCACTCCATTGTCCTCCCACGCGCTCTGTTGTGCTCCCCACACGCTCCGTTGCGCTCCCACAAGTTCCGTTCTGCTCCCACCTGCTCCATTGTGCTCCCACGCGCTCCATTGTCCTCCCACGCGCTCCATTCTGCTCCCCTCATGCTCCATTGCGCTCCCCTCACACCGCCCCGAGCTCCACGGCGCTCCCGGTGCATCCCAGCCCACCTGGGTTGCTCTTCAGCTCCTGCCTTCTTCCCATTGTTCAAATGCTCAAGCATTTGTGGTGGATTTCACATGTGCCACAGTTTATTTTAAATCTAGCGATCGATATGAATGTATTTTAATAATATATATGTCATTATTAATTCAAAAATGATGCTAGCCTGGTGAACAGACCTGCTATTTTTCTTGTTACTGCTGTGTGTATATGTATGTACATAAAAGCATGAAAGATCCCGGCTATTTTTTAAACCAACATGGTAAATAGACCATAAAGGAATCAAAATAGCTTTCCTTTTCCCGTAGGATTAGAGCAGTAGCTAGGGAGCAGGTTGGGGCATCAGGATTTCTCTGCCCCCGTTAGGGCTCCCTCAGGAGTGTCCCGCCGTGTCCCGCTGCTGCTCGCCGCGGTGCAGGACGGGGTTTGTCCCCAGCATTCCCAAGTGCAACGTGGCGTTTGGTGGTGCCAGCGGCTGCTGGCCGTCCCCTCTGTCGCTGCCGCGCGCCCTTCGCAGTGCCGCTCGGCCCGGCGCCCTCCTCGCGCCGCGCAGACCCCCGCTGTTCCGCTGCCTCCTCCGACCTTCCCAGCCGTTCCGACCATGATCCCTCTAACCTTTCCTAGATAAAAATAGGCGGGAGCACTTAGTGCATTAGGAGGAAAGATAGGCTTGAACATTTGCGGTCAAACTGAAGTCAGATGCAAATTTACCGTGTTTAATCAGAGATGAATTTATCAAGTAATGCTTTGATTCTCTAGTAACAAATGTCTAGTGAAGAATGCTAAATTTAGAGATGCTTTTGATATGTGTTATCCACTCCATCCTCCGAGCTCCTTTAATGTGGAAATTAATTGATATGGTTAGTAAATCTTCTTTTTCATTACCCATAAAAATGGAGTAAGTCGTCGTCTTAGAGAAATGACATATTTTAACTTTTATGATGATGTATTCATTGGTGAAGCAGAGTAAAATTCTTGACAGGCTCCAGCATTTCCATCCATGCGGCTCCTGGTACCTGCCTATCTCTGCCGCTGCAATTGGAGCATGGATTGAGTGTTATCCTTCCAGGTGCATCTCCCACATGTGGATCACTAGCCAAGCAGTGCTTTCCAATACTCTTCTTGAAGCTACCAGCCAGGTTTTGACTATTTGGCAGAAAGGAAATTCTCCCTGTCCCCTAAACTGGCCTGGAGGGGAGATGAACGTGTCGTGGCTCCTCCTCAGCGCAGTGCTCTCAATGGTGGGACCTGCCACTGGCCTTTTAATGCTCACTAGGCAGCAGCAAGCTGAGGGGGAAGTGGATTTCCAAGGGTTTAAGAGGTGCTGCAGGGAGATCCAGGCAAGGGATGATTTCCAGGAGGTTTGTTGGTTCTCTCAGCCGCCCCGCGAGCGCTGGTCCCGCCGGCCGGGCGCGGGGCTCGGGGCGAGACCGTGCGGCGGGGCCTGGGCTTGTGTTTGCTGCGTGCCTAAAAACGGCGTTCTGCCCTCCCAGGTAACGGCAAGGAATCGAGCAGAGCCTCCTGCCCCCCGGCCTTGATCCTGCACACCGACAGGAAGCGGAAGCTGCTGCACAATGGGGACGATAAGGTCTGTCGTGGGTTTTTCTTCTTTTTGAAAACAAAAAATCATTTAAAATTTTGCCTTGCACTAATTAGAGTGAGAATAAAGGACTGCTCTTCAGTCTGGAGCTTTGCTATCAATATAGCTGGTTCCCTGCAGTCGATTTTAAAGAGCTGTTTAATCTGTCTCGATCCGTTTAATCTGTCGTGGTACTTTCTATGAGCTCTGTCCCTGCAGCATGGTAGTATTTCGAGAAGGGACTTTGGTACCTGGTTTTCTGCCCGTGCTAACCCAGTTAATCAGCAGTTCTCGATTCTGTCGTGTGAGTGTCTGTGTGCAAAGAAGAGGTGACACAGGCCGGGGCAGAACTCATGCACTGGAAAGTCACACTGGACAAACAGAACAGTTGGGTTTGGCGGGGCCTCTGAGATGGTCTGGCGTCCAGGACCACGGCCAGTTGGGCTTTGGGTATCTCCAAGGCTGGAGGTGCCCTGCCAGCCCTGCGAGACGTGCTTTTCTTCTGCTCTCTTTGTGTTTTTACCTTTGTGTTTTTGTACTGGGAGAGAGGGCTGATTGTCACATCAGTATCGCAGCTGGGGAGGGTCTGTGGTGCCAACGTAAAGGACTGGAAAAATAGTATTGAATTTCCCAGGTTGCAGCTGCCTGAAGAGCTCTGCGTTCTGTGCACATTGCTCCGTGTACAAGGAGAATTTTTTCTCGGGCTCTTCCTTCTCAATGTTACGGATTAAGGATGCCGTGCGCTTCCTACCGAATGTTGTGCGTAGCCCTTCTTTAAGGATCAGTCATGGGGTCCTTAAGTAGAGCCGATAGGCGAGTGGAAATGGAAAGCAGATGGTGCCTGCACCTTGCAGGTGCGTGAGCCTGTGTTGCTGGAGCTTAACTAGCCGTGTTCAAATGCTGAGCTGTGAATACCGTGTGAAGGAGGTCAGGCATCACGCGGGGAGGTTCCCCGGAGCTGTGAATACCGTGTGAAGGAGGTCAGGCATCACGCGGGGAGGTTCCCCGCCGCCACCCTTGTGCCTTGTGCCCGCGGCGCTCGGGCTCACAAGGCGCTCCCAGATGAGGCCCTCAGCACGGGCGATGCTGTTTCCTGGCTGTGTCTGTGCTCCCGCAGCTTGGCCGCCCGCTCCCCGTTGGTTTCCGTGAGCTTTTGCAAGACGCAGCGGGTGGGAGGGTTTTCCTGGCAGCCCGTGCCCTGGCCCCGCTGCTCGGGGCTCCTCGGCGCCGGCCTCGCTGGGGCTCGGGCTCTCCCTGCACGTTTTGCTCCTGCAAGGGCGATGCGCAGAGCTGCCGCGCTAGCTGAGCGAGCTCTTGGCGTGGACAGAAGCACCTCTGCTGCGCTTTCCTTGGCACTGTTGGAAGTGGGATGAGTTTTACCATTTCCAGTTTGTCTAGGTTGTTCTCAGGGGAGCTGCTTGTTCCAACAACCACTAGTGGAATAATGGCGATTTGGGTAATCCACTCCAGGTTCCAGGGAATCATTTGCATGACAATAACATCCTTACGCATTGGCTTTGTTGGCTGACTAATCTCTATCTGTCTTTCAAGGACCATGCTTTAAAGCTGCTGAGCGAGGATGACAGCGCAGCAAACGGCAACAAGCCCGTGGCGTCCACGCCGGTGCCGGGATCGCCGTGGTAAGCAATGCAGGCACCCTAACAACCCCTCCGTGGGTATGAGCGCGCTGCGGTGTCCCTGCGGGGCCCTGGGGTCCCTGCCACGCTCAGCCTCACCGTGGTCGCTGCGGGGGCTGCGCTGGGGCTCGCCGTGCTCTGCTCCTCCGCGCGCTTCTGCTGCGGCTTCGCAGCGAGAATCATGGACGTAACGAAAACGGGAGGGCTCAGCGACGAGCACAGCACGAGCCAGAGCCCTGAGATTTACGAGTAAGTGGAGAGCGCTGCTGAGAGCCAGAAATCGATCCCTGCAGAATGTACATGGTTAGTTTTCTTTCTAATTTTGTTGCTGTGCAATCCTGCTTGCGTTCTGTGAAGCGGTGTCGTATCAGGGATTGGCATGGCTCTTTGGGGCTCAAACCTCACACATTTTGAGGATCTAGCTTGGAAAGTGCTTGGATGGATCAAGGAGAAGATGTAAGATCTCTTAGAAGTGGTTATGTATTTTTAGGACAAGACCCTCATCCTCTTTTACTTGCTTCATTTGTTGTCTTGCAAGGCAGGTATTGATTTTGGGTTAGCGCTGTGAGAATAGGTTGTGTCCCATGACTCAGGTTTCCTGTCCAGGTTCCCGTTCAGGTAATTACACGCCGTGTAACTAAAACTCTGGTGTGATTTTGAAATCACAAACAAACAAAAGTCTTCACCTTCTGCCCCAAATGCTTCACTAGATGGACCTGGCTTTTGTCTCCTTTACCTGTACGCATTTCATGCTGGACAAAGTAATGATTTTAGTTTATAGTCAGTCACTGAAACGTGTGGGTCTTTGGTTAAAAGTCTCTGTAAATAGCAGCCATTATTTACTGTAATTACACGGTGCCCTTTGCAGTGCAGTGTTGTAAACGCAGCCTGGTGTCGTACGGAGATCAGATGTGGTGACCTGGTGATTGACGTTACCGGCCTGGGCTGCGGACGGTGCTGTTGGTGTGGGCTGGTGCAGGGGCTGCGGGGACCCGGCGCGGGACACGGGGCCTTGTGTCTCCTTAGCGGGAACCCGGCGCGTTCGCCGCAGCGGCGCGGGGCCGCGCTGCGCCGGGGAGCTGCAACGGGGAGGATGAACGGCCACGGCAGGACACAGAGCGCTGCCGCAGGCACCCAAACCTCGTCCTTTGGCACCAGAGAGTGGTGTAGCCCTCGTGCTGGCACTCGTCCCTCCTGATGTGACAAAGTCCCGTCTGCACCGTGACTTGCAGTGGAGCACAGAGCATGTCTGTCGGCTGCTTCAGTCATAACATACAATTTATTGAATAGGAAGGTGTTTAAAGTGAGGTGTGTGACACAAATTCAGCCAAATCCTGCATCACTCTCCACCCATGGGTTGGTCCGTGCTTCTGCGGGACCCGTGGTTGGTGTAGCATCACCAAGCTGATGCTGGGGTGTCATTCTGGAGCAGGAGCAGGAAAGCTGAGTGGGGCTGGAGGTTGTGCCCCTTAAAACAAATCAGAAGGTGAGTTTCCAGCAGTCAGTGTGCTGCCAGCCCCGCTCAGGCCCGCGGGATGGTCAGCACGTAGTGCAAGAGGCAGTGGAATTTGGATAATGCTGATTCTGGTCTTCTGCTCCTCATCCAGAAGTGTAGGATGGGCCAATTTGGTCAATGCTGGTCTTACAAAAATAATCCTTTTTTCCAAAAGGAACGAGTCGTATGTTTTAGGATACATTTGAATTTGTGGAATGCTGGCCATTTACCTTGATATTCTGACTGTAATTATGTCTTCTATGAATTAATTACCGTTATTTCCACTACTAAGGCTGACCACCTTGGTAATGGCAGTTTAATTTGACAGCCGCGATCAATGTCTGGAACAGACGGGTGCTGAGTGTACGGGATGAAGGGGCAGTGAGCGCGTGAGGAGCGTTTCTCATCCTGCTGCCGCCAGCTCCCAGCTCACTGGAGGCTGCTGGGGTGCCAGGGAGGCGCCTGGAGCACGGAGAAAGGTGGAGGCGGCGGTTGGAGGTTTCCGCACGGAATGGGAATGGCCGTGTGGAGGGAGTGGAAGGAGCCGCAGCGCTTGTGCAGCCGTCGTGACTCTGTGTGCGGCCGTTGTGACTCTGTACTGCCATTGTGACTCTGTGTGCACTGTCATGACTGTGCTGCCGTTGCGGCTCTGTGTGCACCCTCGTGACTGTGTGCACCGTCGCGACTCTGTGCTGCCATCGTGACTCTGTGCTGCCGTCGCAACTGTGCGCACCGTCGCAGAGGTCCTCCTGCCCCCTGGCTTCCCAGGCTGCATCCGTCACTGGCCGTCAGCAGGGCTTGATGCACGGCTGAGGATCTCAACGTGTCTGCAGGGTCTGACATAGCGGGGGCAGCAGGTGCTTTCAGGAGCCCGTGGACACGCACGTGTGCCGGGATGTGCGCGGAGATGGAGAAGGACCGAGGAGAGAGACCCAGGAGGGGACGGAGCGCGAGGAGGACGG